ACCGAGCACCCCCAGACCGAGCACCGCCAGCGGCTGCACCTCCAGCGCCAACACCAACCGAGTCCAAAGTAACCTGTCGCGGAAGTGCCGAAGGCTGCTGAGGGGACTGTGAGGAGGACTGCGGGGAGGGAGACGCTACCTGACGCGCGACCGAGGGTAGAGGGGTAGCGTGGGACACACCAGACGGGGCAGGACCTGGGGGGGGCGGGGGTACCGGAGGAGCGGGAGCAGGAGGAGGAGAGGGTGCGAGGAAGAGAGGGGGAGGGGGTACCGGGAGACCTCGACAGGGGTACCGGGTGTAGTAGGACACGGACTCGTCAAACTGGACGTCACGGGAGTCTAGGAACTGGTGGAGGGGAGGGTGGTAAAAGGACCAGTCAGCAGAGTCCACTGGGAAACCAAGGAAGACACATGGGACGGCGCGTGCCGAGAGCTTGTCCGCGGAGGTGTCGCGAACAAGTGCAAGGCAGCCCCAGACTCGAAAGGCCGACCCAACACCAGGGGATCCAGTCCAAAGACTGGTCGGTGAAGCCTCGGGCCGCGAGACACGCGGCTGGAGGTTCAGCTGGTGTGCGGCGTAGCGAACCGCGTGGGGCCACAGAAAATGGGGCGCACGGGCATGAATCATGGACGTGCGGGCGATGTCCATGACCAAGCCTATGCGGCGCTCAGCAACCCCATTCTGCTGTGGGGACTCTGGCAGCGTCCAGGACTGGGTGATGCCCTGTTCGCCGCAGAATCCGCCGAGAATGCCGGAGCGAAACTCGCCCTCACGGTCGGAGTGAAGACAACTGACTCGACGACCACGAGTGCCCTCAGTGGCTAGAAGCCACCTGATCAGCGTAGCAGTCACCTCGGACTTCTTCGCAAGAGGGAACACTGTGGTGTACCTGGAGAAGTCGTCGACGACCACCAGAAAGTAACGCTCCCTCCCAGACCCCTGCATCGGGGCAGGGCCCCAGACGTCCAAGTGGAGAGTCTCGAAGGGAGCGGTGGCCGGACGAAGGGAGGAGGAGTGGGGAGTGGCGCGTAAGCGACCGGCGACGCACGGAGAGCAAGGAGGGGCAAGCGAGAGAGGGAGCGACGGGAAGGTGCGTGGGAGACCTGTGACTAGTCCCTGACTGAGCATGCCACGAAGGCGAGGGATCGACGGGTGGCCAAGACGGTGGTGCCACAGGACGGTGCGGTGGGCGAGAGAGCGACAGGAGCAAGACGCAGCGACTGGACTGGACACAGTGACCGGACTGGACACGACTACCTGGCTAGACACAGCAACTGGACTGGGGACCTGAGCCGGAGGGGACGCAACAACCTGAGGGGAGGACGCGACCGGGGAGCGCTCGGTGTGGAGAACGTAGAGACCGGAGCGGGGCTCCCTGGTGAACGTGGCCAGAACAGCACCTGTGGTAGCGTCAGTACAGACTGCAGTCCGCCCCCCCCCCACAAAGGTAACGGTGATCCCCCTGTCCTGGAGGTATCCAACACCCACCAAGTTCCGAGTGAACGAGGGGATGTGGAGGCCGCGCAAGACACCAGAGGGGACCACAGGGCACGGGAGGGTGGTGGAGCTGCGCGCAACGGCTGGTCCTGAAGAAGGATCAGCCAAAGCTACCGGAACCGGAGCAAGAAGTGGTGTGAGGGTCGTGTGGTCGCGGAAGAAACACTGCGACGCGCCAGAGTCCAGCGTGAACGACAGAGACGCCTCAGCCGGAGGCGTGTCAGGTCCGGAGGCTACACAAGCACCTAGAGCAGAAACACAAGCACCTAGACTAGAGAGGCACAGGTCTACACTAACAGGAGGCAAGCATCCTAGACTACGAACACGCGAGCACACAAATCCATCAGCACTATAGTCAACATCAGCATACAAAGCATACTGACGAGCATCGTCCATAGACAGTTCAAATACAGGAATCTTACGGGCTAGCAGGCGAGCCCAGCGCGGGGTGGTCGCCTCAGGACCCCAGCGTGCACGGTAGAGGTCGTCGAGGCGGCGGAAGCACCGCGCTGCAGAGTGGTCGTCGCGGCCGCAGACACAGGGACTGCCAGGTCCGGTGACGCACCAGTGGTCGCAGGGGCCGGTGTCGCGCCGCGGGGGGCGAGGGGCCCAGCTGGTAGTGCTGCTGCTGCGGCCAGTGCTCCCGGGTCCTCCAGGTCCCCACTGTGGCGGAGGGCCCCAGTGCTGCTGCGGACCCCACTGCAGTGGGGGTCCCCACGTCTGAAACTGCTGTGGTGCCTGCCACTGCTGCTGTCCCTGGTGCAGCTGCTGTCTCTGCTGTGGCTGCTGCTGCTGTGGCTGCTGCTGCTGGGGCCCCGCACCACCGCTGGTCGAACCTCCTCCAGCAGGTGGGTCAGCACCTCCTCCAGAGCTCCCTCCGCCTGGGGCAACACCGCCACCACTGCCGCCCCCAGGGCCGCCTCCACCACCGCCACCTCCTCCACCGCCGCCACCCCCCTTCCCCCCTTTCTTGCCCCCCTTGCCCCGTTTCTGCCTGTCAGCGGCAGAAACAGCTGCAGTGTCCTCAGAAACCGACACAGCAGCAGAGGCACGTGTAGCAGTGAAGGTAGGAAGCTGGGGGACAGCACACCCCTCAAACAAACGAGGGGCAACTGCGTCAGTGGCTGAGGCAACAGAGAGGAGGTTACTCTCGATCTTCCCGAGAGTGGTCTCGAGAAGATCAATCGTAAGCTCACTGGGGTGATGCTGGAGAAGTGCGTCACGGGCAGTGGAGAGGCGGTCAGGGAGACGAGTGACTACCCAGTGGACTGTGAGCCAAATAGGAGGAGGAGCAACAAGAAGCTGAGCCTCAGTGCAAGCTGCTCGGTAGCTAGCGACAAGGGAGCGCAAGTGTGTGGCTAGGTCAGAGACAGTCGCAAAAGAGCCGAGGTCGGGAAACACGAACGGCATGAGGATGCGGCTGAGGGAGGCAGAGAGGAAGGGGTGGAATAGCGTGCAGAAATAGCATCATACACCTCCTTCGCAGTCTCTACCAGGTCGAAGTGAGCGGCCTCAGTCGGTGGAAGGAGCTCGGTCAGCGCGAGTGCAGCCGCAGCGTCACGGGAGTCCCAAACGTCCCGCGCCAAGACGAGACGAGCGTAGTCCGCCTGTGCCTCCGGAGTCGGGGGGGGCACGGCAGGGAGGGGCTCGGGACGCGGTGATGCCTGGAGGGCGCCGGACGCGTGGGCGTACAGGGTGGCGCCGTCCTGGCGCTGACTGGTGAGATAGCGCTGAGTCTGGCGGAGCCAGGTGCCGAACTCTATCGGGCGCCCCTCTGCATCGAAACGAAGGCGGCGGGAGGAATCCATATTGGACGCTAGGCTAGGAACAGCTGGAGCACGGAGCAAACGGAGCTAGGAGCGAGGAGCGCCAGGTGGGACTAGGCGAGGTACTGCTGGAGTACGGAGGAAAACTGAGCTAGGAACGCCAGTCTAGTAACGAACGGAGCTGGGAGTTAGCTGACCTAGGAGCACACGGCTGGAGGAGGCAGGGCTGACGAGCCGATCGAGGAGCCAGAGGGTCGTTCGAGGGGCTGGCGGAGCGAGGAGAGACCTAGCTAACAACGAACGTCAGGACTAGCCTAAACAGCTAAGCGGAGCGGCCTCCAGCCGCGACGGTGCGAAACACTGTGAGTATGAGTGACGCGAGTGTCGAACCAACGGAGGTCGGGTGGTCCTGGGTGGTGTGCGCGCGTGATAAGGGGATGTGAGCGTTTGGAAGGGGCTCTGAGCGGTTGGAAGGGGCTGTGAGCGGTTGGAAGGGGCTGTGAGCGGTTGGAACGGGCTGTGAGCGGTTGGAAGGGGCTGTGAGCGGTTGGAAGGGGTTGTGGGCGGGTGGGAGGGGCTAGCTGGCGCCAGCTGCTGGCGGCTAGGTTCCGGTGGCTAGCTGCTGCTGGCGGCTAGCTTCTGCCTAGCCGTGCTGCTGCTGCAGGAGCACGCGCTGCTGCCTAGCCGTGCTGCTGCTGCAATGGACACGTTGCTGCCTAGCCGTGCTGCTGCTGCAATGCACGCGCTGCTGCCTAGCCGTGCTACTGCTGCAATGCACGCGCTGCTGCCTAGCCGTGCTGCTGCAGCAAAGCACGCGCTGCTGCTGCAATGCGCGTGCTGCAGTGGCGTGCGCGGCTGCCGCTGGCTAACGCGCGCGCTGCTGCGGGCTAAGAACGACTACGCGGGCCCGCGGGGGGGGGGGGGGGGGGAGAGTCCCTTCTGGAGCGCGACGAAACGAGGGGCCAGTGGGGCCCTGTAAACGCGACGAAAAACGAGGCCCGCGGGGGCCCTTAAACGCGACGAAAACGAGGCCCGCGGGGGCCCTTAAACGCGACGAAAACGAGGCCCGCGGGGGCCGTCCTACCCGCGACGAAACGGGGCCTAAGGGACGGGCGCCTCGGGACCGGCTAAGGGAGGGAGCGGAAGCGTGGGAGGGAGTAAAAAACCTACTCTAATACCATCTTAAGATAGGCTAGGAGGCAAGTGTCGAGAGTAAAATGTTTGAGTAAGGAGGGACAAGGAGATGCAAATGGCGACCTAAAGTGTTGTACCCTTTAGAGGGCAACTCACAGTAGCCTATCTAACAATATATAGAATATATAAACATTTGACATAGGTGTAGGAACACATGATGCCCTATAACGTACAGCATGATGCCATACCACATCCACCCGCCAGTATGTAGCCAGGTTTCCATCTCAGCGAACTTTCATCCACCCGCCCTAACAACTTTGTACCCCCTGCGACTTTCTCAGTGTACCAATGTATAGAGGGCAAGGCCCGCTCTGGACTTCGATTAGACGAGAGCATGGACATCTTTATCAGTGTTCACCAAGCATGAAAGCACCTTAGCTTCACAGTTACACCAGCAACTAGGTTCAGAAAAGGCCGTGCTTGAGCATGCCGCAGGACCATCGATATTTACGTATCAAACTTTGTAGCAATTCGTTTAGTGTACATCATATCACAAGGTACCCCAATCTAAAAAACTACGGAAGGAAATTGAGTGCACTAAGCTATGCGACCTTGAGGAAGGTGTATGCGAAGGCGGGGTTAGAGTCGAACACCTTTCCTTGCTCGCTCCCTGCCCTCACGCAGGCATTGCTCTGCCAGATGTCGCACCAACCTGCAGAATGGACGCGGGAGACATTGACACAGAAGAATGTTTATGAAACAAAAACAGCCAACAGTCAAGGAGGGGGCGGGGAGAGGGGGGCGAAACACCACGGCAAAATGAGTGAGAAATTAGATAAGTTATCGAGACTGGAAAAAAGCGTACCGAATTCCTGGTCGCTAGAGTCAGCGGACCACGTCCAGAAGCCGGAGCCGTCAACCTTCTCGCAGCAGTCCTTGGGGGTCATGCCGGCGTAGCCAGCAGTACGGGTGAGGTCACCGCGAAGGTTCGTCTCGATGATTTGGCCGAACTGCACGGAGGGATGCTCTGCGAGATCCGGTGCAGTGGCGGCGTCGGGACATGTGCTGATGGCCTCGAAGGTTGGGCAGGGATACTGGCCGGGAGGTAGACGGTCCGCCGCCAAGGCCAGAGGCAAGGCGACGAGGAGGATAGCGAGGAGGGAGGCTACACGAGCCATAGCTAGACGTTTCTGGGGAGATAAAAGCACGTGAGTGAGAGAGCTTCACTTGAATTTGAAATGTGGGAGGAGGGCAGGCGCATACACAAAGGAGTTAGTTGCATAAGGTTTTGTTGAAAGAGCTCGAGCAGAGGGGAAAAGAAGATAGCCTGAGCAATGCTGCTGTTTGGTTGGTGAAACCTGGACGTTGCTCGTTAGGTTTTCGTGTCTGAAAGGGCGGGCAGGAGGGGAGGGGCTGCGAAACGGAGGGGCAAGCGAGGCTCCTGTGTCTGTCGGGAGGCAAAGTGAGGGGAGAAAATGTTGGCCAGCGGTTTCGTCCAGACTCAAATAACGACAAGATTGGCGAGTTTCCCAGATGCGTTCAACAGAAAACGTTCACACCAAGCGTTTGCCAAGGGCCTGGGAAGAGACCTGCTGATGACCAAAATGTCAGGCGAACGCCGTGTACATTACGCCCGAAGGTTCCTTTTCGCCTCTGTTCCAGCAAACCTACGGTACGATGGCCTTCGTTTTTTCGAAGACGGCACGTGAGAAGCAATCGTGTACAGAAGGGTTTGGTATTCTTGGATTTTAGTTGCTGCAATAATTCACTCTCGCGAAAACGATATGTTTGGATGTAAAAGGTTACACTACAAAGCGCAAACAAACGTCCACAATCTTAACCGTCATTAAACGAATTGTCTCATGTCATACCTATAACAGGATATGGTTCACTACAGAGCTCAGCCACTCTAGGATCAGTCAGATAAAAAACATAGTCTAACCACCAACTGTATGTACCAACTTATTTAGTCCCTGCGAACATGCAAGAAAAATATGGTACCATGTGAGCGGTACATATGGTCGTATTAAGGCACATGAAAGAGAGAATGGAACTTCTGAGTTGTACGTGCCCACATGCTATCATGCTGTTTACCTTAAATTGCCAATTCCAAGCTCGAACCGTGTGCAACCATTTCCTCCTTAGACACTTCATGGTCGGGGTTAGGTTGCAGCAAGCCCTGATCTGCAGAAATGCTGTCACTGCCAACTGGTCTCTTCTTCTTAACGACTTTCTTCACCTTGATACCACCAACGCCCTCTCCTTCACTCACATCCCCCTTGTCTCCACAGCCATCGCACTTCTTTGAGCCCAGGGGTGCCCTTTTCCCTTTCTTCACCGTGGCCCCATTCTTCGCTACCCGCTTAAATTCCCCACCATCTCCAGCTTCACCGCCAACACTGTCAGTAGTCTTCTTAACCACCTTCTTCTTCCGCTTCTCAACCGCTTTACCATTAGCATCCGGCCCCACCCGCTCGCTCATTGCCACACCAACCCCACTTGCCTTACCCACTTCCCGCACACTCTGGCCTTTCTGTTTGCCCTTCCCGTTCCCCACCCCTTTGCCCTTCACCTTTTTCACACCATTCTCCTTGTCACTGTGCTCATAAGCATCGCCGCTGTCCTTCACCCCACCACTGCTACCACCACTACCACCACTGCTCTTCTTCCCTTTCACCATTTCCCCACCAGCCGCCTCCTCCTCCCCTGCACTCGCCTTTTTCTTCACTTGGCCGCTGCTTGTGCCTACTTTCTTCTTGACCTTGCCACTGTTCTCTCCGCCAACCTCCTCCTTCCTCACCTTCTTCTCGCTGTCACCCTCTTGCACCGCCCCTCCATCCGTCACTTCCCACCGTGCTCTCCCCTCCCCAGGCTCCTTTCTTGCACCTGTTCCCTTCTTGCCGTCCCCCTCCCCATCAGCAGAAGCAGCAGCAGCAGCACCAGCAGTAGCACCAGCAGCTTCAGCGGCACTAGCACTTCCGGATCGGACCTCCCAAGCAGTACCCTTGATGCCCTCACTGCCCGAGTACCCATCCATCAGCCTCTGCTGCAGCCACCGCTCCACCCCCACCATTTTCTCCTGCCTCTGCACATCATCACCCCCATGCCCGGACACTGACACGCTCCCCCTGCGCTCCCGAGCCCAGGCGCGCACCGCCGCTGCCACATCATCAGCCACATCCTCCCCGCTCCCCTTTCCGCCTTTCCCTGGGGAATTCCCCACGCCAGCAGCTACCGCTGCTGCGGCTGCCGCTCCCCTCCCCACCACGCGCGCTGACCCCTGCCTCCGCCCGCCCGAGTGGTTCACAGGCGGAGCATCGGAAGGGGACGTTGGGGTAGCCTGGGGATCGGGATGCACTCTGTCAGGCCGATCAGGCCGATCAGACCGCCCCTTGCCCTTGCTTGTGCTCTTCCCCACGCCATTGGTCCTCGCCTTGCGCTCCTGAGCGTTCATCATCTGCCTGATCTGCATCGGCGTCGCGTCTCCTGGTGTAGCAGACCACGTGGCACGCCCCTGACGGTCGGATTTACGGCGCGAGTCCTCTGCATCGTCCGATGTGTAGCCCATGCCTCTGGTACTAGTGGCAGAATCAGCCTCTTGCTTTCTCATGCTGTTCCGGGTAAATCCATCCTCTGCTCCTTCCGCAGACTCCCTCCTGCTCGTTCCATCCACCCTCTCCGCGCTCATTCCGCCAAGCACCAAGAAACTGCCCCCCGCGTGCCCTCCCCCGATGCTTGCCCACCGCTTCCGCCGAGAATGCCCCCCTCCGCCTGCACCCTCACTCGCGGCGGGGCTGGCGGGGACGGAGGAAGCGCCGTACGAGTCCCACGGCGCGGGGACAAAGGCCCCAGAGTGAGGGGAGGCGGAGGCGGAAGTAGAGCCTTGTGCCGTACGGGGAAGCCCATACTGCGGAGTGGATGCGGCAGTGGAAAAACTGGTAGCAGCAGCAGTCGCGGTGATCGAGTGGAACAGTGTGCGCGGCGTGACGTCGGCGGCTAACGGGGAAGACACAGGGTTGAAAGCGGAGGGCGTGTTGATTGGGTGGAGTGTTCTGGTGGGGGTGACGAGGTTGGGGGTCCCACTCGCACTCGTAGCACCGGCGCCTGTGGCAGTCCCCCCCGTTGTTCCGCTAGTGCCGTTACTTCCGTTAGTCCAACTGGTGCCTTCGGTGCGGCTAGTGCCGCTAGTCCCTGTCGTGCCACTCGTGCCGCTTGCGCCGCTGCTCGAACTCGCGCCGCTGGTACCATGGGTTGCAGCCAGCGCGGAAGGCTTACCGCTCGTCCAGGCAGACGCGCGGCCCGCCGCTTCGTGCTTAGCGCGGCCTGCCAAGGCATTGGCAGCAGCGGCGGTGGCGGCGGCTGCGGCGGAGGGAGAGGAGGCGGAAGCGGAGGGGGAAGTGGCGGAGAAAGAAGCGCTCCCCATGAAGGCGCGCTTGAGCAGGCTCACGGACGCGCTCAGCGTGCGCAGAAGCCGCCCGCCCTTCTTCTCCGCCGACTGGGGAGTCGTCGGCGCTGCCGTTCCCGGCCCCGCCCCCTGCTGCGCTGCGCCTGACGCCTGACTGCCGCCTCCCACTGCATTATGCTTTAGCACAACCGAGTCTTCCATGGCTCTCCGCTCGTCGTGGACTCTGGATCCGCGCACAGAAGCTGCTGCCGGTGCTGTCAGCAGCAGAGACTCGTCTTTGTGTGAATTTCCTTCCCTCCTCTTCTGATCTTTTGCCGTCGAATGCCGAAAGCCGTGCGCATCCTCTCCGAAATTGCTCTGCTGCTGCGGCTGCTCCTTGCGTTTCTCTTCGAGATTCCGCTCCCGATCCTTTTCTACCTTATCGACCAATTGTGGCATCTCCTCCTTGGTCTCTTCCCCCATCTCGATTCGCTTCTTTCTCGTGTCCCTCGGCGGCGTCTTGAGGACCCCCGTCTCGTGGTCCACAATCTCAACCACAACTGGCGGCGCCACTTCCGCCGCTGTCGCGTTACTCTCAATCACGGACTCCTTCTGCGGCTGCACGCCAATGGCGGCTTCCGACTCGGCGGCCATACCAGCGCAGCGAAACGCTGCAAGTTCCTCCTCCGAGAACAACGCCTCGTCGTCGAGTTTCAGCGTCTGCCGGATTTCCACCGGCCGCTGCCGCTCGTTTGGCTGCCGCTGCTTTTGCTGCCGTCCAGTTCCCTGCCGGCCGTCTGATCTGCCGGGGGATGCCCCCGAGCCGTGGCTGCTGGCGGCCGGGCCAGTAGTGGAGAGATGCCCGCCGCGAATGGTGGAGGTACTGAGACGAGACACCGCGGACGTGTCAAGCGAACGTGACATGTTCGAATTGGTAGATGAACTGCTTATGGCACGAGGAACGCTGTCGCCATGGGTAGTGGCACCGCTAATCCTGCGAGCAGCGAGAGGCCCCGAAGAAGAAGAGGATAATCCCAGGGAGTTACGACGAGAGTCGGTGTACGAGCGAGAGGCGTGATGCGCGAATGATCCGGCGACGTTATCGGAGGAGAGGGAGCGGGTGAGCGTGGGACCGGAGTTCATTCGCGACACGCCGGTGCCCATCATGGTGGATCGCGCCGCTCGTAGCTCCCGCGCGCGTTCGATCTGCTCTCTTCGACGGAGAGCATACTCGGTCGGGTCGAACGTGCGGGCAGCGGTCGACGCGGAGGAGGAGTCGACATGAGATGCCCGCATAGCGGATGATTTTGGAATGCCTGCGTTGAGTCGATATGAGATGCCGTAATAGTACTTTCAAGTTGATATGATGGTTCGCTTTCCGGGATGAATCTGGGAGGAAGGGCACTACATAGTTATTGCTTGTGAGCTGAAGGTTCACTCACGAGCCGAGGAAAACAAAGACCAACTTGAAGGCAATATGCAGGTTAGTACGTCCTCGCAATGCTGTGTGGGAAGGAACTGGCTGGCTTCAGTGAGAGATTGGAGTGTGCCGAAACGCCAATCACCGAGCAGAACAGACCATGGTTTCTTGAAATTCACACAGCACCCCAATCCCAATCTGACTCTTGGCTTTGGATGCGGCGCGAAACGGAGCGCATTCTCGAACCACTTGTTTTTGGTCTGGGTTGCAAACAGGGCTGGAGAAGCAAGGCCATTTGGCCTTAATGCCCTGAACATTCCGGGTTACGCTTGGAGCAGCTCGACCGTTTAAAGTGCTAGAATGGCATGGCACCCGTGACAGTTAAGGGCCTTGTTTGGGCCTTCCCCTGAATCCAAGTTTTGGTTTCTGTGTTGAGCACACCCCCCCACCCCCCATCCCGCCGCTGCTCCCCCACCCCCTCCATGACTTTGCCTACGAAACCCTTCCTCCTCCCATTTTTTTTTGCCTACGATGTAGAGGCTGTAAGATTATTGAGCGCTGAGAATGCACCTTCCCTCTGCTAAGTAGAAGGCATGTCCTCCTTTGGACATTAGGGGAAAGTGACTTTCCTTAGAGGCCCGGATTTGAAGCCTTGATTTTGGCCTGCGCCCGTGAAAATCAGGGCCAGAATTTGAGCACCTCAGGACTCAAAGTTTTGGTCCCAGGGACTTCGACAGCCCTGGTTGCAAAGCTGATAGCAAGAGACAAGCAGGCGAAAGCCCTCCCATAGGCGAGATTCGTGCATGCGGGGGAATCGATAATTCCGTTGGCGAAAAGTTTGCGGGGTACGGCTTCGACACCGACCCGTTTGGGGCTTGTGCTGTTGGCGCGGAAATTTTGGTGCAATTTCTGTACCGCCTGTGCAATGATGCAATGTAAACCGTTGCATCTTTTCACATTACACACTTCTGAGGTACCTTCAACATGCACATAAACCAAGGCAAACCCTTTCTCTGATAAATATCTGTACGCAGTTATTATATTTACCGTTTGAACCATATTACTATGTTCATATTCCACATCACCCCTTCCTAAGGTATAGTTTCAAATAAATTCATCCTTACATAGAAATGTCGTCGTGGAGGAAGGAAAATAACCCATGTCGAAAGGTAATGGTGAAATCCCTTATTCCCAGAAAATTCCTGTGCCATGTATTATGATTATTTGCATCACATTTGTGAAGGGGGTATGATAGAGTTAACATTTCTAGGTCATTGAAAGTGCTGTGTTACGGGTGCAATGAATCGAGGTAGCAAGGATTGCACTAGTGTGTTCAACGAATACAAAGTATGAGCGAAGGTACAAGCGAATACTTATACGCGAAACATTCAAACGGTAACGTGGTGCGTGTGAGCTAGCTAGTGCTACGCTGGCGCGAGGTTCGGGCTAGTCCCGAAGCGTAGGCCGACCGGCTGCTCCAGCAGTGCGAGGTTTGGTGAAACAGTGCGTGCGAAGTTGGCGAAGCCCCGTTAGCAGTAACGGGCGAACAATGGTTGCGGCTGTACGCGATGTTGACGGTAGCAGTAAGGAATAGCGAGAAAATTCCTTACATGCTGGCTCTTTCCACCTCATGAAACTCATGATCAACCACACCCGACAAGCCTGATCAACTTTCAGTCAAATCACCCCAGTGTTTTGCCAAGGCCAGCCTAACTCTTGGAGGCTTGAGCCACAGACGAAGTAATTCGTCAGTCAGGATTCGCAATCCGCCAGTGTGTAGAAGAGAGGCGGATATACCCTTCGTGGCTCTGATTAATTAGCAATGTCTATCTTCGCGAAAATAAAGGCCGTCGATTTCTACCGGTGGGTTTGCCATCCACTTCGTAAGGCCAATCAGAATCTGACCATACCTCCCGATGTCCTTGCTGTTGCCCAGCTTAACCCTAATACACTCCGTCTCGTACATTACCCCCCAATCCTACGCCTTTTGCCGCGAATTCACAACTAATCCCACCCACATTCTCCACCTCCTGAAACCCTAATATCCCCGTCCTCAACACCACCATTGCCTAATTTCGAGTCGGCATCGTCCTGATCCTTCTTATCCTTCGTCTGATTCTTCATCCGATCCGACTACGGAATGGCAGGCGAATACCTCGCGACCTGACAGAGGCATCGCTATCCGGGGCTACCCTATCGCTGGTCGCCGCCACATGGATCATCGTGCTCGTCTGGCTCGTAATCCACTCTCCCCTTTCCTTTATCACCCCCTCCCCACTCTGCAAGCTCTCCTCATTCTCTCTCTCCCCTCGTGCCTCTTGTGCCCTTTCCACCTGGACCCTCGGCTTTGTTTCATATTTCAGCAACCCTAATCCGAGACTCGGCATTCCCGCCTCCCTCCACTCCTCCAACCCTCCCCTCCGTTCACTATAATTCTCCCCTCAGCATTCCCCCCTCCTAGACTCGGCATCCCCTCGGCATCCCCCCTGCCCCCTCCCCCCGCATCATCCGTGTCCTCCCTCAAGCCTACCTCATTGTATCTCCCTCGCTCTGCCTGGGCGTGGTCACCTGCATGCATGGTGACACGCGTGTCCCCCACCCGCACTCTGGGCGGCATCAGGAGCTGCGGGTGTTTCTGACGGTGACAACGAGCACCACGGTCATCGTGGATCAGAGCCCCAACACCGACCTGCTGCGCATCAACTTCAATTTCAGGCAAGCAACCAATCCCACCACACCACACCCCACCCCACCCCACCCCACCCAGCCTCTTCACTTTTGAGGCTTCTCCAGGTCGTTTCTATCCGTTGGACTGCTGTTCTTGCTCTTCCGCCGCCCGTCCTTCAACACAAGCAAGGGCCCATACCAACCGTACGTGGTTCTCCATTCATCTCGCTGTCCCTCCTTTCTCTCTACCTGCCCCCCACGGATCTCCCATGCTCGCCTGTCTGCAGCTTCCCAGCGCTCTCCTGCGAGTTTGCATCGGTTGACATTACAGACGTCATCGGCACGGTATGCTCTCTCTCTCTCTCTCTCTCTCTCTCTCTCTCTCTCTCTCTCTCTCTCTCTCTCTCTCTCTCTCTCTCTCTCTCTCTCTCTCATCTCAACTGCTCGTGCGCTTTGCACGCCAAACAGTGCACCAAGGAAGCAGGTAGGTACCACATAATACACAGGGAACACTACGTGATGCCACTGCCTCACATGAACCATGCCATCCCGATCTCCAGGTATACTGGATGGGAACAGGTTGTTAATCAGGCGGATGAGATCACTGATTGCAGCAAGCAGCTGAGAAACACGTCTCACTGCGCCTCAAACCCTTTGACTGATAGCATGCCCCTTCTGCCCCTTAGTCTGCTGCACCCGTTGACTACTCACCACCAAAACCTCCCCCTCTCCCCCCCAATCCTCACCAACCCCCCCCTCCCCCAATCCCCGCTAACCCCCCCTCCCCCTGCACCTCCCACCCCTCCGGCCTCAGGTGCGGTACAACCTGTCGCGCACCCTGCGCAAGCACCCCATTGACTCGTCTCTGCGGATTGTGGGGCCACAGCACCACCCGGACCCCATACCCGAGCTGATGCGCGGGGGCAATGAGGGGGGCGAGGAGGAGGAGGCGCAGAGGCAGCTGGCGGAGGAGGGCATGGCGAGTGGTGGGGAGGCGGGGGAGAAGCAGTATGTGGGGTCGCTGGTGCTCGATACAAGGACGTTTGAGCCTGCTACCAGACAGTGCGTCGTTCCTCCCGCCCTGCTCCTGCCGTGCCCTGGTCCTGCCGTGCCCTGGTCCCTGCCCTGCTGCTTGCCTTGTTTTGCCGTGCTCCGCTTCACCTGCGCTTTCCCCATGAGGTCATCGCTGTGATTGCACCATTGCGATCAAGATATTCACTCGGTGCACTGCACGCCCTTCCCTGTGTTCGTCCGTTCCTCCCCCTTCCCCCCGGTGCACGTGCAACTCTCTCCCTGCGTTTGTCACTGCAGGTACGGCATCCTCATTGTGAACTTCTTTGCACCGTGGTGCCACTGGTGTCAACTCCTGGTATGCATAACGCACCCACGCACCCATCCACCCAACCACCACTCTTGCCCCACCCCCCCCAACCACCCACCCACCTGCCCATCCACCCACCCAACCACCAGCCCACCCACCTACCTACCCAGCCCTGCTGTGAATGCCCATCTTTCTCTTCCTTCTTCTGCCCTCTGCCTGCCGTGGGCCTTTGCAGGAACCAGCATGGGAACAAGCAGCAACAGTCATGAGCCAAAAGTAATTCGAACTTTGCCCCTCCTTCCCTCCTGCTCGACTATTTCTTTCTCTCCTGCAGTTCACCACCTCTATTCTACCCTTTTCCCTCGTCTTCCTCCTCCCCACCCTGCACACTTCCCTCTGTCTGTCACCTTGAGCTCTCTGCTACGTTCTCACACTTGTCAATCTCAGCAAGCCCTTACCCTCGCACCCCGTTTCCCCATTCCTTCTCATCCCCATGCACATGCCCCATCCACTCTCCTCGCCATCCCCCACCCACTCCCCCCCCTCCCCATCCACCGCACCCCTCTTTTTCCCTACACCTTCCCCACGTCCCTTGCCTCTCCCTCGCCCGTCTCCCCTCCTCTCACCCACCAGGTATCACCCGGATCACGATGGTCGCATTCGCCTCGCCAAGGTGGACTGCACTCTCGATTCCAACCTCTGCTTCAGGTGGGCCGCTGGGTGGCAGGTGAGAGACATGCCAGGTGGGTGGGCGTGCGGTTGGGTTGTTGTGAGATGTTTCAGGCGCATCTCCAGCCAAGGTGGACTGCACTCTCCATTCCAACCTCTGCTTCAGAAGAGTCAGTGGTGTGAGTGAGAGAGATGTTGAGTTGCGATGCCTCAAAATCC